GAGAGAGGAGGAAGAAGGACACGTGAAAATAAAGGGAACGAAAACAAAGAAGGTGGCTCCGTCTCGTCTGGTCAAAACAGGACCCTCAATGTGGGATTTGAGATTTCTGCTGAGATGTTCTAATTGCTTTTTCCTTAGGCACTGGGTTAAAACATTTAGAATAGCTCAGGAGATCCTAAGTGAGGGACGTAATAGTCTACTTCTAAGTCAGCCCAGGAAATAATCCCTCCTGTCTTTTGAACCCAGAAATTTCTGCGCTTTTGCAAGAATGTGTCTCTAAAGGTCAAGCTCACACTGTGGCTCTCCACTGCCTGCTTTTCCCCCTGACCCTTGTGGAAGTCTTGGCCTGGCCTGGGGAGGCTGCTTACAAATTGCCATGTAGAACTCCATGGCCGTGTGGGTCACAGTCCTGCAGGAAGGGACACTCTGTGGTCTCCCAATTCTTCTTACAGTGTCTGAAGGGGGCACGTGTAGTGCCAAGCTGCTGTGTACAGATACACACTTGTACTGTCAATTGCCCCACACCTTTATAACCAGTCCTTGTTGCTGGTTTTGGGTTTTCTTCTCTGATAGTTTTGGATGTTGTGCTTGGAGTGGATGGTAAGGGAGGGGGCACAAGCTGAAAATTTCCCAAAATGGTGAAAAAGATGCACTTTCAGGCACTTGATATCTTAAGTCTCTAGTAGATCTTACATCAGGCCAGGAGCCACTTTGTGTCTCAGTGCTTTCCTGGTTTTCTGAGCTAAGCTCTGGCTGGCATATCCAGCTGGTCTCTGCATAAGGCCCAGAACCAGGCTTGCATTCCATGTTCAGGGTCTGGTACACAGCCTACTTGCCCTTCAGGTGTGTGGGCTTCCATATCAAGCCTTTTCACAAGATGTCACCAAGAAGCTTTTGCAGAAACCAGTGTCCTGAGCAGCAGCCCATCAGTCCTTATCTGGATGTGTAGGTCGATAGTGCATGAAAAGATGCTTTCTTTTTTTTTTTTTTTTTGCATCCATTTACCTATATTTTATTTTATTTATTTATTTATTTTTGGTGGAACCAGGGATTGAACTCAGGCCCTTGTGCTTGCCAGGGAAGTGCTTATTCCACTGAGCCGTCTCCCCAGCCCCAAGATGCTTTCAATTAACCTTCCAAATTCACTGTCCCACAAGCCTAGTTCATACTTGAGAGGTTGGTTCTGAAATGGGCAAGCAGCTGAGACAGTCTTTTTTAAAAATGTATTTAGTACAGAGTCTACAGAGTCTCACTACAGAGATCAGACCTGTAGTGATTCTCCTTATTTTCAGCCTTCCAAGTGCTGAGATTACAGGTATATGCCACCATGCCCAGTTTGAATTGCTATCTCAGTACGCTCCAGGGGCAGGGCTGGCACGGCACGCTGAGGATCGAACCCTGGCCACTGCGCTCTGTGTAAGCAGGTGCTTTAGTCTGTTGAGCTATCTGGCTGGCCCTGAAACAGTCTTAAGGTCATTTCCTACATTTAAGCTTGAGAGTTAGGATCTGGGGCCTTTTCTCAGCTTTGCAGTGTGTTACATGTGTGACAGGAAAGCTGGTCTCACTCTGATCCTCAGTGGACTTTGTTCAGATGAGTGTGGGTTTCCTTTAGTTGGCTGAAATAATATAAAAACATACAAAGACCACTTATTATACAAGGGTAGTAAAGAAGTCCAAGCTTAGGTGGTGGCATTAGCTAAATTTTGTTCTCATAGGCTGCTGGCTGTCTTTCACTTCCTTCATGAGGGTTGTGCTTTCAGATCTCCCTACTGACACTTAGGACATGGAGGGCTCTGCCAAGATCTACCTTGCAGAAATTTCCACACATGGTTGGTTGACAGGGTCAGGATAGTCGGGATCTCTGCTCATATCCTCCTGGCAGAAGGCTCTACCCACGTTTGAGTGATCAGCCCTGGGGGATCTCAGCTCATGCCCACTCTACACATGGTTCTCCACATACCTTAGGTAGCTGGGAGTGGGTGAAGATCTGTTCACTTCTGTGGTGTAGGGGATCCACATCCATGTGACAAGGGGCAGGACCTCTGCTCATATCTGTGTTGTAGAAAGCTCTGCAGACACAACTGATATAAGGACATGGTGGATTCTAGTCAAATCCCCATATAGACCTCCCCATACATGAGATGGTTAAAGTCAGTGAGTGGAGGTCTTTGCTTACATCTGTGTTGTAGAGAGCTCCACACATGCCTGTGATGGTCAAGACATGAGGGACTCACATCCATGTTTTAGAGCAGTCAAGGCATACCTGAGATGGCTAGATATGTGTGTTGAGGGCCCTGTGTTCACAATGGCCCCATAGAAGGGTCCACATATCCGAAATAATGAAAACATGGTGTTCTATTCATATCCATGTCATAGAGACACCCACAAACCCATGAGGTGGTTAGGACATAGTAGCTCTGAGCTCACCCACGTAAGTCAATGTATAGAGGATTCCACACTCATGCCTAAGGCAGTCAGGAAATGGGGTGTCACGATAGCTAATAGCCCATTGTAGAGGTCTCCACACATACTTAAGGTGGTCAGAATAGGAGGATGGGGGATTCTGGCTGTATTAACTTTATAAAGGATTCCACACACCTGAGATGGCCAAGGCATGTGGCCTCTGACCATATCCACATTGTGGAGCGCACAGTACAAAATGATGGTCAGGACTGGGCACTGTGAACATCCACATTACAGAGGACTCCACACCTACATGAGGTAGTCATGACATGTGGTTTTTGGTCACATCCATGGTGAAGAAGCTTCACAGATAACTGACATGGTCAGATGTCCAGGAGAGGTGCTGCTCCAATCTGTGAAGGAGTGAACACCACTCAGGGTAGGTGCAATGGCTGGGACTTGAATAACAGAATCAGAATGTGGTGTTAGGGAGCTCTATTCACATGATCTTAGTAGAGCACCCACACACACACCTGAAGAAGTAGGGAGTGGGGTGGTTCTTTCACATCTACAAAGTAGACAGATTCATATATAGCCTGAGATGGTCAGGACATGGGAGGCTCTGCGCATGTCCAGGTTAGGTGGGTGCTTGGCCAGGCTATAGAAGGCTAAGGACTCTTGGATGCTTGCATATGGGAGGGTGAGTGTCTGCTCACATTCATATTGTACAGCACCCCATCCACACCTGAGGAGGTCAGAACATGGAGGAGATTGTATAGGGATGTTGTATAGGGATTCCCATACCATGGAGATAATCATAATGTTAAGGGAACTGTTCAGTTCATGACTGCATTACAGAGAGTTCCAGGTATCTAATGTGGTCATCAGGTCAGTGCTCAATTCCTTGTTTTAGGGGGTCTTCAGAACCTGCTGAGGAAATAAGGAAATGGAAAGTTCTGAGACCATCCTCCTTGTAAGAGAGGGCTCCAAAGACCTCAGACAGGCTGGTTATAGTGGTGTGTTCATACCCAGGGCTCCACACATACCCACAGAATAGGGACATATAGGGCTGGGGGATATAACTAGGGGTACAAGCACACCTGCCTGGCAAACATAAAATCTTGAGTTTGATTCCCAATACCAAAACCAAAGATAGGGACATGTAGATTCTCTGCTCATTTTCTCATTGTATAGGGCCCCACCCACCCTGAGGTATCAAGATACCAACAGCATACCTTATACCATGTATTCTCTAGGATTTCACTCTTGCCTGAGATGTTAGCTTTGTGTTGGGGTTGCTGCTCACATACCCCTTTAGAGGGTTTGACACATACCTGAGCTCAGGAGAACTTGGGCTACACTGTTCACATTCACAGAAGAGGGCTCCACGGGTTGTTGTGGAGGCTTCCTACAAATCTCTGCCTGGATAGGTAGGATTTGGGGCGCCACTCTCACGCACCTTATAGTAGGACACAAGGGGCACCAGGGGGCTCGTCTTAGTTACTTTTTACTCATTGTTGGGACAAATACCCAACACTCAAAATGAAGGAAGGAAAGGTTTATTTAGCTCTCAGTTTGTGGAGGTTTTGGTCTATACCCCATTGGCTCCTAGGCAAATGGCAGCAGTTCATGGTGACAGAAAACAGTTAAGAGCAGAGGAGGAACAGCATTTGCAGCGTTCATCAAGCCTCTCTCTTCCTTCTGTGGTGACTGCAAATACTGGCCTTCCATGGCGAGGATCGTAGCTCCCCCGAAGTGGTGCCGCTGTGAAGATCAAGCTCCTCTGAAGACTGGGACTTCTCCAAGCAAGTGGGGCAGGGCAGTACAGAGAAGCCTTCCTCACCTCCTTTATACACACTTTTTGTGCTGAGTCACTCTAGGGCAGCTCACGTTCCTGTCTTGCCCTAGGGTGGAACCATTCCCCCACAAGGGCAGAACCAACTGGGCTCAGCCAAGTTGGCTGGGCCCTCCACAGCCCAGAACCTCACCCAACAGACTCAGCCAAGTTGAGACAATGTATTGACCACTACAGGGTTGCTCACCTGAGTGCATTGGCTGATGAGAAAACACACTGACATTATATTCTACAGAGTGTCACTCCACCCTGGACAGTCTGGACATGTGGCAAGATTTTGGTCACTTCTACATTTTGCCAGGTGTCCTCACACACGAAACTTAGGTCCTGTGGTTTCTGCTCACAGAGTGGTTCTCAGTTGGGAAGGACAGAGTGTGCCCTGCTAACATGTATATTCCAGAGGTGGTGAGGACATACCTTAGCACTATCAGAGGTGGTCAGTACATGGATTGATGCTACTCACATGGTTGTTTCAGGAGTCTCTACAGGTGGCTTCAGTGGTCACATTCTTCAAACCCCAGGCCACATCCTCTTTGTGACGCCAGGCTACGCACATGGGCCTATGTACAGAGAAAGATATTCTACTTACATCAGGTTGTAGATGATTCTGCATAGAGTGAAGGCCTATGGGACCAGCAGGCTCTGCTCACATCCTGCTGCCTGTGCCTAAGGCTGTAACCACATAGGACGACACTGCTTGCTTCTCAATTTCTACAGGGCTTCACAGATCTGAGATGGTGAATGTAGGGAGAGAGAGGGAGAGACAGCCAGACAGACAGACAGACAGACACAGAGAGACAGAGACACAGAGACAGACAGAGAAAGACAGAGAGAGAGCAAGAGTGCACAGAGTGCCTGCGTGTGGGGCTATAGGGGGCATAAGGGCTGTTCTGCACATACTCACCTAACAGATGGTTCTATACATTCCTGAGGGATTCAGGACATTGGTAGCTCTGTTTCTATCTTCATTGCAGAGACCTACACACACACACATGTGAAAATCACCACAGGCCCAGACTCTGGTCACAACCATGTCATAGAGGGTTTCCATACTTCTGAGATGGTCAGAAGTAGATGGGGCTCCTGCCCTATTAGGTTCCTACCTGGGACTGTGCTGCACAGGTGACAGAGATGGAGCTGCCTTGCTTGTGCTTTCCTATTGCAGAGGGACCACACATATCCTGCTTGGCAGGACCTGCAGAGGACCTCTTCGTTTCCATGCTCAGGTGTTCACGAATACCTGAGTTTGTCAGAAGCCCTGGGAGGTAGCCCGGCTCACAGGTCCATTGCAAGGCTTCCTATGGGCTTCAAAAGTCCAGTTACATCATATGTGGAGGCCTCTGTCCATATTTATGGAGTAGATATTTGGCAGCATCCCTACATGGAGTGGGTCTGGGCTGTTCTGGCCACATGTAAGTGGGAGACAGCTCAACACAGAGGTGTGATAGAGTAGGGACATGGGGAGGGCTGGTTTCCAAAATCAATTAATAGAGAGCTCAGAAACACCTGAGGTCATGAGGATGTGGTGGCGTGTTTTTGCCATCACATGATTGAGATGTCCATAGATGGTCAGAGTTTGTAGACAGTGGCCCATGCTTCCACTGGCCTTGGAGAGGACTCAATCCCAGGAAGGAAAGTGTCTTCACATCTCCCTTGTCTAAGGCTCTCTACTTTGAGAGGTGATTGCCCAGCTCTCCCCATACCTGAGGGTGACTGGAAAGGAGAGGACACTGCCCACATACAGTGTAGGACAAGGCTCTATACATGCCTCAGGTGGTCGGTGTGACACTAGGGCCACTGTGCCTGTGGCCTGGAGGGTTCCACACAGGACTCAGACCTTGAACAAGTGGGTTGGTCTGTCCATGGTGCATGATGAAAAGGGCTCTGCATGTACGAGAACACAACTCTAAGAGGACTCTGCTCACCTTTGTGCCATGGGAGGTTGGCCCCTTGCCAAGAGGCTTAGTAAATGGCAGGCTTCTTTCATGTGCACCTTGCATAGGGCTCCATGCATGATGGAGATGTCCAGCATATATGAGTGTCTCTTACATTCCTGTTGTAGCGAGACCTCATATTCCTGAGACTGTCACTGCATGGAAGGGCTGGGTCCCCACTCATGGTGGCCAGTGCTCTACCAATGCCTGAGACTGTCAGGTCATGGAGGAGGCTCTGCTCATTGTTACATCATGCAGGGTCCCTCACATGCCTGAATTAGTCAGGACAGTGAAAGACTCTGCTCATACTCTCGGTGTAAGAGGCTATTTCCACAACTGAGGGCCGGGCTCCATGGATGCCTCTGATAGTCAGGACAAGGGGTAGAATGTAGGGGGCTCTGCTTACAATCATGGGGTATAGGGCTTCATGTACCCCTTGGGGTTCAGGCCATGGGGAGCTCTGTTTACAGCCACATGGTAAAAGGTTCAACACAGGCCTGAGGCCATCAGGACAAGGGACTGGTTTCCTGTTCACATACACATTTTGTTGGGACCAATGCTGCAGGCAGGGGCAGGACTGGTGGGATGACTGTGCTTTTGTGTTTTTTAGAGGCCCACCTATATGAGATGTGGTCAGGTCATGGGGCCTTGACTCACTGTTTCCTTCTAGAGGGCCACACACGTTAAGATCGTGGGTGGGATGTGGCGTGTTCTATTGTCAACCACACTGCTGAGGAATCTACTTACCAAATTTTCTCCAAAGAGTGAAGCACTTCTCCCATTATTGCTGAAAACCTATCTGTCTGCCAGGAGTCAAGAAGTTGAAGATGTAAAAAGCTTGGCTCACATTCTTCTTGTCACAGAGGGCTCCAAACCCCTGAGAGGGTCAGCAGATAGATGGGCTGCTCACGTCTACTTGGACCAGGGTTCTACATGTGCATGTGGTTATCTGAGCAAGACACTCTCCACATACATTGTGGTTGTAGAGGGCTCCAAACAGGCCCACAGTTGTCAGGACACGTGTCTCTGTTGACATTCCAGATGCACAGGTTTCCAGCCCGCATCGATATCTTGAGGCTATGGAGTGGCTCCATATCTGTAGCAGTGGAGGAGAGCTTCATGCTGGGTGGTGCTGGTCATACCCAAGTGCTAGAGGTTTTCTACATGCTTGCTTTGGTCTGGAAATGGTTTGTGTCTTGTGGCTCCATGAATGATGGCTATGCATATGACATGTCTGGGCTCTGTTTTAGTTGACTTTGTTTAGGGCACAGACACTGGTGCTGGTCAGGAAATAAGAGGGTCTCTACAAACTTCCACATTCTCCAGGGCTCCCCCACTGCTGGAGGTCTTCAAGATGTGTGTGAGAGAGGGTGCTGCTCCCATCTGTGGTGTGCAGTGGTACACATACTGCTGGGATGATCAGGAGGAATGTACATGCGCACAACCCTGTGGTAGACTCCATGCAGTGGAGGTAGGTAGCTGAATTGACTGTGACATAACACAAGTCTGCCGACATGTCTGAGCAGGTGGGGAATGGCGGGTTTTGAGGTCAACTTCACAATGTACAAGGTTCTTTACACAGCACAGGAGGGTGACAGGTCCAGGGGATGCAGGCAGTCCTGCTCACATAATATCAAGGGCATCTTGTACAACCAGGTAGGAAGGTCAAGGGGCTCTCAGGGGACAATCACACTGTGTAGGGATCATGACACTAGACGTAGGTACAGTAATGGTGTTCACATCCATGTCCTTCAGGAGTCTGTTCAGGCCCATGATGCTCTGTTTTGAAGGGATCACCTGACATGCACATCTGGCAGGATTCCACACTCCTGAGACAGGGTGGGGATCTGGCCATACAGGCACTGCAGAAGCCTCAGACAAATCCCTGCTTTAATGGAGACAGTGCGGGGATCCATTCTCATTAATGTTGTCATGGGGGCCACTAAGGCCCCAGATGATCAACCTGAGGCCCCAGGGGCAGCTCACAACCTTGTCATTTGGGGCTGCACACGTGCCTACATTTGTCCGCCTGTGGGGGACCCCACTCACATCCTACAGAGTGTCACTCCTATCCTGGACAGTCATGTCATCTAGGGAGATTTTCATCTATATTTATTTATTTGCGGAACTGGGGATATTGAACTCAGGCCTGCAAGCGGTTATTCTACTGAACTATCTCCCTGGCCCCTTCATCTACATTTAACTAGGTATCCTCACAGACCTAAGGTGGTCAGGTCTTGGCTTTGCTCATAGCCTGGTTCTATAGGATCCCATACCTACCTTAGTTGGGCAGCATATGTGCTGCTCAAGTGCATATTCCAAGGTAGTGAAGACATGCCTTAGAGCTACATATCAGAGGTGGTCAGGACATGTGTTGGTGCTTCTGATATGGTATTTTTTTTATATACCTATTTTTTTCTCTTTCTTGTCTTTTTCAGGCAGAGCCTTGCTATGTAGCTCAGGCTGGCCTTGAGCTCACTTTGTAGCCCAGGCTTGTCATGAACTTCCAAAGATCCTCCTGCCTTGGCCTTCCCAGTGCTGGAATTATACACATGTACCACCACGCCCAGTTATGTGCTCCTTTTAGCATTTTCTACAGGAGGCTTCAGTGGCTTTGTTGTGTAAGCCTCAGGACATCTTCCTTTTAAATAAGGACTATGCATATGGAAGAAGTTCAGCAGAAGAGTGTTCTATTCATATCATGTTGTAGGTGAGTCTGCACACAGTGAAGGTCTGCCAGGCATGCAGGCTCTGCTCACACCCTGCCACATGAGCTTGAGGTTGTCAGCACCCTGGAGGATGCTGCTCACCTCCTCCTTCTGTATAGGGCTGCAGAGGTGCCTGACATGG